GTTAGCATCTCACCTCCTGCTAGAGGTCTATCTTCTTTATCAACAGAGAAAAATTAACCTTTCAAAAATGATATGTTATAATACATTTCTGCCATGTGGCCAAATGAATAGGAGAGATGGATTAGGTGCACGCACAATGTTCTACCCAGATCTTCTGAAAGGAAGAACTTGAATGTCTAGCCTTGCTGAAAAACTTTTATTGTATGGTTTTCTGCACAAGATCTAGTAGCACAGAGTTCTGTTTTAAGTGTGAGTAGGCAAATATGCTGTAGCTTTTGATGAAATCCTGAATCAAAAAATGTTTCACTTCAAACTTGCTCATTATCCTCTTCAGCCTTTTCTCTCATCCATATTTCACTCTCTGTGGACTATTTGAATATCTTTGGCATGTTTCACTTTTACTTGAACATTTCTCAACTTGACTGAAAGCGTAATTTTATTCTGAGATGTATAAGCATATTTTAAGTTATTTCAATTATTAACAATTTAAATGATGCTTGATGCTCCCCAGCCTCTTTTATACCAATTAAGGAACAACCTAAAGTATGGGATTCTCTCTCCCTTTCTTTATTTTCACTTTAGAAATAAATAAAAATTAACTCCCTGTATACTCATTCCCACCTGTGTACCTACATCCTGACATCCTCTCTGTTTTGCAGTGGTGTATGAGGCAGGATATAAATTAGGCCACTGAAATGATGCAAATTAAAAATAGTGTATGCTGGCAATCAATTGTACTGTAAGGCTACAGACAATTTCCTGTTTCCACACACGCTTTGCCTCCAGAAGAAATGTATCATCTTCAAAAGGCATCGTTTCTGCACCTTTTTCAAAGACTTACTTGTCTGGTGTGTCAAAGTGGAATGATTTACAGTTTAAATACTCCTTCTTCAAACTGCTTGGCCTTCAATCTCATCACCTCAGCATTTTATTAGTTATTTGACCATTACACTAAGAAAGGTGTAATAATTGACAGATGTCAGCTGACATAAAACAGACGTTGATACGAACTGTTGAAAATATTATCTAGATGTCAAGTAAAGGACCATTTCTGTTCATCATGACACAGCATTCTGTGACCAATGTCAGCAGTATCTTGTCCAGCCGCTTCTTGAGTTTTGAGTTTTACAAACACAAGCATTTAGAAACTAGCATTCATGTTGCTTAACTTTGATATTTTGTCATTTCTGTCTTATAAAAGGCTGAGAATGCCATCGGGACAGTTGCATACATGACCCCTAAAATCTTACACTGATCAGTTGACCCTTTTGAGCAAAAATAAAATATTGGGAAATATGTCCTCATGAAGACAATTAAACAAATTAGTAAGCAAATAATTGCCTTATTTGGTGATCTTTGGTCTTTCAAGTGGAATTGTGTAAGAGAAGAGCCTGATCCTGAGTTTGGCCTGTTGAGGCAGTGAGTGATTGTGGAACCAGAGCAGACTCCTTATCTGCCCAGCATGACTACACTGGCTACGAAGGGTTAAGAGGAGAGAGGGTTAGAAGGTAATCAGCTTTTAAAGTAACACTTAGCAGAGGGTTCTGAATGCATATTTATGTTAAATCAGGAAGGAAAATTTAAAGGTATATTTCTCTTCAGATATTCAAGGGATAAAACTTCAGCTGATAAAAATCAGCTGATAAAATCCTACAGCATACAAAGGATTGACATGCTTCGTAGCAATAAAATAATGGTTACATTTACGTCTCCTAGATAATGGCCACCACTGGAAAGGCCTAAACAAAACTTCTAACTCCTGCATCTAATAATCTTGAAAATAAAATTTCTGAATCTAAATAGCTGATGGGATGTTTCCTGACCTTAAAACTACAAGATGACAGAAAACGTGTCAAGTTTTTCTGACAATTTCTATGAGATTTGAAAGTAATTACAGTGACCCTCTTTCCTCCTATATATGAACAGCTGAAGTGTATCTAATAATAACAAGTGTTTCATCTCTGAAGTTCTCCAGAGTTGCTTTGTTTTCTCTTTCTACCTATTCTCTGTGTCTTTCCCTTCTATTTTCTATGTTAGTCAGCATTCCACAAGTTCTAGTTTAATTTCACCAATTTTGTGGACTTTCAAAGTTAAGAAGCTGCGCAGCTGACTCACTTCTGCTTTAGCATAGAGCTTGTGACTAAAGAAAATGATAAAAATTGCAACATCATTAATTGTTTTTGGATTTTTTTAAAGATAATTAGAAGCAACAGTAATTTTGTTTTGGCAGTGATGTTACTGAATATTGTCTGTCCTGTTCCCACACAGCACAGTTCCTGCCCGTGATTTAGCACTGATGTTTTAAACAAAGGATGTTCCCAGGAAATGTAACATCTCCATTAGGTCACTTCAGAGTAGAACAGAAGTAGAACAGTAGAAGAGAAAAAGGAAAGAAAAAATATCTGTTTTTTGTCAGGTTTTCCCAGTGGGTTCTAATTATGACTGCAGTTTATTACAGCACATTTCAGACCTCTCTTTAAATGGACTGCTGTGCCTGCTTGGAGTCCTCGTGGCTTTAGCAGGACTCTCCTCATAAGCAGCCTGCCCTTGGGTGATCAATTGCAGCATAGAGGGTTTAGTTAAGGCTGAGGCAGGTTTAGACAGCGAATGCTTTATAGATGTTGGAAACTATCTGGTGTGAACAGAAGTAAGAACATTATATAAACAATCTGCCACCCCCTTATTTCCACTGGCTTATATAATTATTTGACCCTGTGCAAAACGTGAGAGCTAAATCCTCATCATTTCAAACAGAGAACCAAATTCAAGGTATAGCATGTTGTCTCAACTGCTGTATCGCACTGGGGTTCTCCAAACTTGTTCCTTTTAAGGTTGGCCACCAAACAGCAAGTGGCATTTGGCCCTCTGAGGTGGATACTGATTTACTGGTTTACCTGCAGCTTCAGCACAGAGTCACAATGAGCCCATGTGTCGTGTAGTCAATCTTTCTCCCTAGCTACCTCTTTCCTACTCCCAATTATTTTTGACTTCCAGGTATTCTTGAATCATTACAGTTTTATTAAACCTTCTAGCTGTGAAATGTAAATTATTAGTTGGTTAGTGGACTTTTGATGACTCTTTAATGAGGTAACACCGTCCTTGAAAAATGTATCATAAGTTCAGCTGTTAATTAAGCTGCCACTTCAAAAAATAGTTGAGAGGTAATTGGAAAGTGGGCTCATCTTACAAGGAGTTAATTAATAAGTTCTTTAGGGCTGCATTACTACAGGGTCAAACAACATACTATAGTCAGAAACAGAGTTTCATAAATGTATTTTCATTTGCTTCCATGTTCTGCCCTTTGTTAAAACTCAATTGTCCTGCTTGTTCTACTATTTGTGTACTTGTGTTCCCTCAGTCTGTTTTTGGAAAGGCTTTTTTTTCTTTTTTTTTTTTTTTTAATCACTTTGATCTTTTCCATTTAATAAAATCAATCTTGCATTTAGTAGACATCTTCACATGCCTTCATAATTCACAGCAGTGCATATTTACCCAAGCAGAGCATGTAGCCCCAGAAGGGCAGAGGGCTACTGACAGCAAAGTCAGCCATAGCTGTCCAGTTTATGCAGGAGGCATTCAATTCTGCAAAGGTTAGATGACAAGTCAGTAAGATACTGAACTTTTTAAAGAGCAAGAAAGGTAGATTCCACATGAAAGGGACACTAAGCAGAAAGGTTTTAGGGTCATTTCAGCACTTTTTCTAGCACTGACTATCAATTTGCTCTCCCCTCTCTTTTTCTCTTCAAAAGCCTTGGTGCTGACCCTTACTCGGGTTTAGCTGTGCTGTATTCTGACAGCAAGTCCACAGAAATCAGCTCTGTAGAGACTGGAATGTTATTCAGTGCATGTGTTGGGCTCAGAGAAGATAAATATTTGTTTGTTTTAGCTTTTTAAACAGGATGCAGCTCTCCAGAACTACGGAGAGAGAAAGAAAGAGTGAGTTGTCTTTGCAGTGAAGAAATGATGGCAAACAGGCAGATAAATGTGAGGTGCTGGATATAGCAGCATTAAGAGAATTAGCGCAAGCAGACAGTGTGGAGACATTAGCCTGCTATATGTTTTGAAAGCAATCTGTTCTTGTGCCTAAACCACTGATAGAGAAAACTTCTTCCTTACCAACTACATTGTAAAGAACACAGTTGGCAATGAGATCTGTGTCTATGTGGTCCTGTAAAGGAGAGTCTTTGTAGTCAAACGATGCTTCTGGACAAATTGCACCCTGATGACCTCGCAACCTTCCCGTACCTTGGGAAGGGGAAGTCAGGCTGGAGCCTAATGTGTCTGCAGATTGAATCTTAGGTGATAGGTGATGCATAAATGAATCAGGTTTTACATCAAGCTGAAGCACAGACGAAGGGAATAAGAAGAGTTCTTTGTAGACAGGACAGGGATCTTCTGAGTACGGAAAACCACCAGGAATTTACAAGAAAACTATCAAATCTTATTGGTGCACAGCAGAACAATCCTTCTTAAAGGCATGTTTCTATTCATTCTCAGAAAATGCAAATGAAGTATTGCCCTGTGGCAAAGTTTAAATTATAGCATTCACCCTGTTTCACTCCCATGACAGGCACTTTGCTCCTGTGAGGTCTTTGGCACCAGTCCCTCGTTTGGCCCTGACACCTTCCCCCAGAACTGTTAGCAGCTGTCTACAAGCAGGCCATAATACTGACCATAATCATGGCTTGAACTGCCAGTTTGGACCCACAATGCCACGAAAATGCACCTCTTTCTCACTAGGTGTAACATGCATTACAGCATATTTCCCACCTGGGACATCTGAGCAAGAAAATATGCTCCTCCATTACAAAAAAAGTTCTTCATATGGCTGTTAGCTGCCAATCTGTACCAGTAAGTCATGCTCCCTCCCCACAACACTAAACCCTTCTCTATAAACACAATTCTGAACAGTAGTCACTTGCTTTTAGACGGTGATTCAAGACCCCATATTCAACATCCAACACCATTACTTGAACACAGAGTTAGTGTTTGCCTCTTACCTGTTCGATACCCAGTGTTATTCAAATACACGGCGAAAGTGCGTGGCTCATGAGTGGCCTGCCAGGAGGGAGAAGAGCAGTTTTCATTGTTGGTGTATATGTTGTGGTTGTGCACATACTTTCCAGTCAGCATGGAGGAACGCGATGGGCAGCACATTGGGGTGGTTACGAAGGCATTGATGAAGGATGCCCCTCCATTCTCCATAATCCGTCTGGTTTTGTTCATGACTTGTAAGGACCCTGCAATAAGTGGAACTGATTATCACTCTGCTGCTAAAAGCAGTTGGAACGTACTGGATGCTACTTTGTCATTAAAAGCAGAGTATCAGTGATGACCTTTCTGTCAGACATCAGTCTCTATTACTCCATAACTTAGGTTAATTTTAGAAGAAAATATAAAATCTTTTTTTATATCAATGAAAAATATTTTTTAGGATTCCAGAAAGATTGAGTATGGCTTTTTCCCCCCTCAGGCTTCAAAACAAAGCAGAAGTGCAGCTTAATCTAGAAATATAGCATTAGAACTTTAGAACTATATCAAATTTATAGGTCAACAGTTCTCCAAACACTGCTCTAGGAGAACAGTATTTTATACAGGCTGCATCAATGTGCCAGTAAAATATGTAAAATTCTGAGGCTGCTAATGAATCTATTACAATTCCTTCCCTTTTATCAGATAATCAGAGAGAGAGAGAAAGAGAGAGAGGGCAGAAAGAGGGAAGGAGGAAGGGAAGGAAGGACTAGATGGTTGGGAAGAAAAAGAGAGAATTTGGTAGTGATCTCCCTAAGCAGAAGTTTCTCTGGATTCAGGATCAGCATGGCTGGCTCCGAAGCTAAAATACTGTGCTCTAAATCAGATTTTGGAGATGAATGTGCTTGCAAAAAGTATTAGCAAAATTCAGAACTTTTCTCAAGAAACTCTTGCATTCTCAACACACTTTTGCATTGACCCAATTTAAAAATTTTTTGGTGTTATTTGAAACATCTTAAGAAAAAACAAGGTGAGACTGGCAGGGCTTGCATGCTTCTGACTGCAAAAAGGCTGAACAGTTCCTGATAGAGTCTGTCAGTACCTGCTGACAGCTGTCAAGCTTTGCTCTTTTGGTTATCCAAAAGAGCAGAGATTGAAGGGTGAGTGTGAACTATGGGTTTGTCAGTATGCAGCCAGGAAACGTCTGTGAATTTTAATACTTACACAAATTTGGCTGTAAAAAGATAGTTCTGGAATTCTACTTCGTTTTTTTTTTTTTTTCCTTTGGTTTTATAATTCATTTTTCATAATTGACAGAGGTCAGCTTAAATGTAAAATTAAAATTAAAAGCATTGATTCCATGGATAGAATAAGAGTTTTTCTTGATGGTTGTGCTTGGGTCACTTAAAAAACAACAGAGTTTTAAAACCACGAAAGAAATATCTCTAAAAACACAGAACTGCCAAGAAGTTCATCTTTAGATGTAAGCAGTAAAATCTTATGAATATTAGCTGTTAGCTAATGTTCAGCATGCTCAGTTTAGCTTTTGGGCTAAAGAGTCAGTGCTGAGTGTGAAATCTTTTGCATCACAATTATTTCCATTAAAGAAAAGAGGAAGAGGCAGTTCTTGAAATGGTTTATGGATCTCAAGGGATGTGGTTAGTGGGCATGGTGGTGGTGACTAGATGATCTTAGTGGTCTTTTCCAACCTTAATAGATTCAATGATGAGTATCTTCCGGTGCAGTAACAATACCTGTGTCTTTAAGGATACATTCAGCACCCTGAGCAGATAGCCAGCGATTCATTTTGGATTCTTCCACTTTCAAAGTCTTTCTTTTCTAAATACAGAGCATTTGCATTTGTGCTTTCCTGAACTCAGTACAGATAAAAACCACGTGTTTAGAGATACAGAGAACTAAGAGAGTGACTGAGAGCTCCCTGAGCACGAAAGGTCTTCCATTTGTACGAGCGAGAGTGTTTCACTAAGTTATTAAATTATAATCAAATGAGAGATGTTTCTCACTCTATATGTCTTTGTTTTGTACACAAGGTTGGCTTTTCCTTTTCGCCCCTCGCCCCTCTTTTTTTTTTTTTTTATAGCTCAGACATTTTTGAAATGTCAGTTTATGACAGATCTCAGCTGCAAAGTGCTTGTAGGTGTTTGGATGGGAGTGCACTGCTGTGCTACTCTAATGCACAGTAGCAGCAGCAGGGCCACTGTGCACTTTCATGCCTCTCTGCATTGGAGATGAATAGTTGTTAGAGCAAATTCCTCATTCCTCTGCTTGGTCAGCCCTCTTCTCTTGCAAACCTGCTGTTTATGAGTAACTTTTTCCTCCAGGTATGCACTTACTGACACCAATAATAGATTTATCCCCTCTGGAAATTCTGAAACAGACACTTCAAAGCAGGTGAGACTTCCTCATTTGGAAAACTAAACATAAGCAGGAGATAAAACTTGTTCATAGAAGTTATAATCCTTTGCTGTCTGTAGCTCTCCTCACAGCTTGTGCTCTCTACCATCTGGCCCACAGTCTTCAGGGCACACACATTCGGGCGCTGTCTGACAGCAGGATGCTCGCACTCTACATGACCAAGTGGGAAGCACCTGAAAGGAACCAGATAACTGGGAGCAGCCATTTTGGACACAGAAGTGAGCAAGTTTTGTCAAACACAAAATTCAGTGTCACGTCTCCAACTATTGTCTTCATATGTTGAGAAATGTGTGGTAACCAAGGTTTCTTAAAGAGTAGTAAAGCTGGTATGGATTTTCACCCATATGTATCACAGGTGGGCATCTATACAATGGGACAGCTAAAACCATCTTGTCTTAATTTGTTTGAAAGCACGGCAACTGGAAGGTGATGGGCTTTTGAAAATCTCAGAACGTATCTTCATTTTTTCAGATTACATTTTTTAGTGCTTTGAAATTTCTAATGAAGCTGGAAAGGAAATCAGGCAAATTATGCCTCATATGATGTGGCCAGCTGTGATCCCTTCTCCAACAGCTGAAGGCACAGGATGAATTTATATGTATGTATATACAGATAGAAATCCATTCCCTTATATGTATGTATACATAGGTATAAATCCATTTATCTGGATTTTGTTGGGTGGTGCAATAGGCTGTAAACAAGTGGGCAGAGGTAGTTACCTTGTTTTAGTTCTTTGGAATTTTCCCCCCACTTTTTAAAGCTTTTTCGTACTTCTCCAAAGCTCAACGGGCTCTGAGTTAGGAATACTGGAACTACCAAAGTATTCATTAGTTTTGACTCCTTTTTGATGTTACACAAAAAACTATTCACAGTGAGGATTTTGTGAATTATTGCGGAGTCATGGCTTGAGGGACTGATATGTAGAAGTACATAGGAGAAAAAAGCGATGTAGAAGCTTGAGGACTGAGGAAGTGATTAAAGACTGAGCATAAAGTTGGAAATACCTATCCTCATTTCTGAAAGGAATATAGAAAAGACCTCAATGGAAGCTGGGGCCACTGCCTTGAGGAGCAAGAATACGCTGTCTCCAGGGGTGCAGTGACTCCTGGCTCCTGTGGAACCCAGCGCTTTGTCTTGAGCCAAACTGCAACGATGTGCCAGTCTTGAGCCAAATATGAGTTTGCCTCAGTGTCAGGCAGTTCTGCCTCTACTTCAGAATCTTGGTGGGGGCTATGAAGTACACATAGGTCCAGTTTGACCAATCAGCTCCCAGCCCTGGGACCAAAGTTCTTGCTGATTTTTCTCAAGAGCTGTGGACAGGCTGCTTCATATTGGTTAAGCCACCATCTTCAAGCTGATCAGTAATACCCTTCCTCTGTACCACATTCCTCCCAATATGTACAAGAACTGACTGGAGTTGTGAAGAAATTTGGGGGTTTTATGCAATAAGTTGTATGAGACAGCAGCTCTGCTAAACTTCTTTGTATTCAGAATGCAGAACTCAGGGTGACAGTACAGATCAATATGACAGCCTGCTTTGAGCACTAACTAAATGCAAGTTCTCAGGTTCCCGCAAATTTTACTTCGGATAATTCCCCTCTATATCATTTGCACTCAGGCAGCTGAATATTTTGGTTCAATGCCTACACATGCTCTGGAGACAAATCTTTCCTGATTGAAGTCTGTAGCACACCTTATATGCTTTTATGTTCAAGCATTCATTTAGAACAGCTTTTAGAAATGTTCATGCTGGGAATATAAGAGCAAATAATCCATATCAAGAGACTTTCAGTCTTGTGAGTTTTGGATAATCGTGCCCTAAGCTTTATTCTGCTTGTGGCATAAAGTGTTACTTCCCATTGACCTCTGGGAAATTTGGGATTTTTTTCTCAGGAATCACAAAAGGGCAAGGGGATAATTCACACATGGAAAACAGTATGGCTTTGTTTTTCAAATAAGCAGAATGATTTATTAGTAGAAGTGCAAATAATGCAGTACAGTAAGTCTTGGGGCTGAATCCTGTTTCCTGTGAAATGATCTATGAAAAGGGGAAACCTGCATCTTTCATTCAATGCACTGGGAATGCATGTATGTCCAGGCTATTGCTCAACTGCTTGTTAATAAGAGCCAGAGCCTCTGTGAGCATCCAATGCGGCTTTCAAAGAGAGGAGCTCCACAAAATGAACAAAGTGGCTTGCCACATCCTTCCTGCTCTTTCACCACTTGCACACCCTCTTGCAAGACTGAAGACAGCTCATCGGTAATGCTGTTCAGAGATATGTGTCTGCTGACCTACCTTCCCCAGTGCCCTGGAGAACGCAGGCTCTTTCTGACCACAAAAAGGAAGACGTGACTTGACCCTTTTAGAGAAATTTTCAGAACGACTCTATCCAGAAGAAATGCATTCCTATTGTAATAGCTGTATTTTAGGCCAAAAATAGAGCCAGGAACAGCCATTCATTATGCAGCACAGCTAAACAGAGCAGACATTTGAAAGAGAGAGAAATGAAATAGATAAGATGTACTCAGATCTCAGGGCCTGCTTGTGGAGCTGTGGGGGATAGCTGCTGCGTCAAAGGATTAACCCTCAGTCACAAAATACAATTTCTTAATTGTATTCTCACAATCCGAAATGACTGCGTAAATTATTATTGTATCATGACAAATACAAAAATGCCAATAAGTCATGAGTTTCTGGGGCTGCTTTTAGATCTAGTCCACCTTTTGTCTACAGGTTTCTGGCTGAATGTATGTGATCTTAGAAGAAATGAATTATTTTGTTACAAGTTTTATGAGAGAAGCATTTTTCTTTATCAACCTATATGGCATTTTGTTTACAAATTCACCTTACTTTTATTAAGAGCATGCCTTTCGTTAAAAACCCTAAGAATGCAAGATTTCATTTCAAGTTGATTTGCCATTTTTTCACCTTTTTGATCCTACCTTCCATCCCCAGAACTAAAATATTTGCTTGGGAGTAACCTAAAATGATCCTCTTTCTCTCCTTAATTTTTCACTTCAGGCAGTAAATGAAAAAATCAGTTATATGCATAACCATTATAATGTCTTTCTAACTTACTTAATGGAAAACATTCAAAGGTCTCCTGGAACATCATTCAAGTGTTTTAACATTTTCCACCCTAAGAATAAATATGTGAAAAATCACTCCTGGCTGAAATACCCAGGTTGTACTCACATATTTAGTAAACTGGCGAAAGCAAAACTATCTTACTGTTACATATGGACCACAGTTTTAAAACACATCAATTTCAAATAATTCACATAAAAATTAATCTTATGTGTCCTTTTACAGCTGATTTTGACAAGCATATATTTCCTAAAGTCTGGAATTAAACCTTATAAATACTATTAAATAATATTTGTTAACTCATTTTCCAAATCCGTCCCACATTCTGATATTGTTTCAGAACCACTGCCTTCTCTGAGTTTCAAGTGCTTGCCTGGCAGAAATTATTGAAAGACACGTGAGGAAATGAAGTAGCAAATAGGAATTTTTTCTCACCTAGCTCCACGTCTTGGTCATCCGTGAGCACAAGGATGATATTTGGTCTGATATTTTTTCGCTCCTGCTGCACACGGCCTCTGAACCTCAGGGATTTGAGAGTGGAAGAATGACTTGTCAGCAGTTCAGTACTGAGCACTGCCAAGAGGAGTGCAAACCAAGAGGTCTTCATAGTATTTCCAGTATTTCAATGAAAAAAACAATCCAGAAGTGCCTGAACTCTAGTTTTCAAGACCTGCAAGGAGGAAAAGAAATTCTGTTCAAGCAATAATTAAACTTCCAGTCACACAGTGAGAAGATGATACTCAGGGAAGTCAAACCTGACACATACTGTCTGACGTGACTATAAGCCATATTGTTGAATAGGAACTTTAATCTATCATTTTCTAAGAATAAACTTGGTCCTTCTGCAACTACACTTTCTCCTGGTATATTCCTCACAGTGCTCCTTCTTCTATACCCCATGCTTCTTTTTATGCAGCATGTTCCGTACAATCAGTACCTGGGCACAGTACAAAATTGCTGGGATGCAGACGTGTTCAGAACATCTGTAGGAGGAGCCCTGCAAGAAGGAGAAAGCAGAAGGTCTGTCAGTCAAAGACCTCAGCGCTGTGCTTGTGCTTCAAAGTCTCCAGAACTGTTCAGTACAGCTTCTTCCTCTGTCCTGAAATAGAAGAATAATAAAAAAAAAAAAAATTGCGTTTCCCTCAGCTCACCAGCTTAATTTAACACCATACATACCCATGCAGCGATTAGATGGCACTTTGGCTGCTAGAGATCAAGGAGATACACATCCTGTCATCAAACACAGGTGCTTTTGCAACATTTATAGGCAGCCTGAGATTCTGCAAATAAGAGTTAATTCCAGCTTATGGCACCTGGCAAGCAGTAAAGCTATTTTAGCTTAACTCACCTGCACGAGCGGCTAAACCCTTACAAAGCAGAGAGGACAGCAAGGCTGTCATTTGCAATCTGCACTGGATCACGACATGAAAAGTCATCTTCCCTCTGACAAGAAAGCTCATATCGAGTGACAGTCCAGATGATCTTACCCAGCATTGTGAAGAAGCGTAACTGTCCCTCAATCAGTCAGCAGTGGACCCGCATGCCTCATCCATAATGCACGGTACCCCTGGCACAGCCTTGTCCTTGATACTTCGTTTCCAGACTCAGCTGAGTGCTTTATTGGAGCCCCTTCTCCATGTCTGTCAGTCACACAGCCTTGCTTTTGTAAGACCCAATGCAAGCACACAGGCTTGCCTTCGCTGCAGCAGATTTAAACCTGCGGCTGAGAAATGACTGATTGGCCTGGGGAGGAATGGGCAGCCACTCATACTTGAACATCTTTTGCATTACTGAGTGAAGCACTGCAAAACCATCCCGTTACACAATGAAAAGGAGGGAATTTCTGGGGGCAAAAGGGAAGGGGGGGGGGCAAGAAACAGTGGAGTCAAGCCTGCTCCCTCCAGAGTAATGACCTGCCACATATGTAATTTTGGGGCTATAAATGAAGCATGGTGACATCAGTCAGTGAACCTCCCCCCATTCCCCCCCCCCAAGTCCAAGAAGTCTGTTTATGGGGAAGGCTGCATGGGAACTGGGGTGGACATGATATAATTAGACTGGAGCATCATTCAGAAGATCTGTGCTCTCAAGCTGAGTTGTGTATTTAGACAAAAAACATTAACAAGAAACCCACAACTAAGTGCAAAGAGTGTAACAAAAGCAACACAGAAAAAAAGAAAAGTCCAATCACTCACCTAAAAATACGTTAATAGGAAGGTGCTCTAAATTTCAGGGAAGAAGCCATAGGAGAGGGAAGGAAAGGGATTTGGTACCGGACTGCTAGGAAAAGGATTGTGTTCTTGTTTTCACATACACCTTTTATTTTAAGCTTCACAAGCTAAACAGTTTCATGCTTCTCACTCTGGCAGGCTGTAATTACACCAGAAGAGTGTGAATGTCTTTAAAAGGAAAATCCAAGTGTCTGTTGCAGAGAGATTCTGTCTTTCATTGTCTCTGCTCCATCAAACATTGCAGCTTCTGACGAGCACTGTAGCACTGCAAAGCCAATATCGGGGCTGGGCATTGAAAATTACATGCCATTTGGATGATTACACAACACTCAGGTAAGCAGACTGGAAGTCTGTTATTAGTCCAGACTGACTATTAAAAATACTTCAGTTTTCCTGTATTTTGTTCTAAGCTGAGCACAGAAGCCAACAAAAGCACTGAAGAACGAGATTACTGAAGAATTAAGCATTCTTCTGACAGACACCAGACACTACATGCTCTTGGTGCAAAGGAGAAATATGATTTCTCTACGTCTGATCTTTAAATAGCAAAACTTTGACTCACCTCACAAAGAGTGAAAGGATACGTGAAGTGAGACTCAATGTTTAGTTTCTTACATCAGTTGCACTGTACAGCAAACTTTTTCAGACAATGTTGACCCAGAAAGTGCAGTCATCCTGACTGCACTGAGCAAACATTGGCACCAACGTGTTTGAATAATCCCCCACAGTATGAAACTGCAAGTTCCTGACAATTACACCTTAGTGCTAATAAAATTCACACTAATGCAAATTAACATTGTCAAGCATTATTCATTTTACCCTCTTTGGGATGTGCTGGTTTTTATAAAAAATCATTTAGCTTTAGATTCTTTGAGCAAGCCAGGGCCACCTTAAACAATTCTTTTATGGAAAAATGAGCATGAAGAGTTTCTTTTCCAACTATCTAATATTTTTCCCCTTGATGGATAAAGGAAATGATAAAGACTGATCTGTATGTATTAAATTAGTTAATCAAGTTTCATTCAATTGTTCTTGCATACAAGCACAGTAATACTACCTTTTGTAGCTCATAATTTCATTTTTACATAAGACAAATCTTTATTCGGAAACATTCTTTGAGAACCTGCCCTCTTACAGTCTGATTCCCAATTCCAGAAGGAAATGAAGTAAAGAAAACTGTCAAAATACAGCCATGACAGGGAAGACAAGGCTGCAATGTTTGTGCTGGATACTGTCTGGTAGTCTACAAGTGTCCCTACAGACACTGTAATTAATCTTTGGAAATAGACAAAAATACAAGAAATTATAAGGACCTTTCCAAATTCGCACGCAGATGTAAACGTAACAAATATTGCGTGGTGTTCAGAAATCAAGACTGCAATAGGAAATGTTTTCCCCAAGCAGAATTTACAAATACTAATTGTAACTTCTATATATATGCTATTTTATAGATATGTTACATTTTTCCAAAAGATTGTACGTTTGACAACTGAAACACTGTCAGCAAATAAATGAAACCTGAGCAGCAGGAAATCCAGAGAGACTATTTTTCCTCATCTGGATGTAATTTTTATTTTACAGTCACTCTTCCCCCCCCAGAAGCACAAATTCATAATTTGCACTCACCTTTAATGGGATAAAATCTGAAAACGTGGTTCTTTAGTTTGTTCTTTGTTGCTAGTATTATAACGAGCAGTTCAAGGACTCGTTGGCATGGAGAATTAATTACCCGTGAAACTTGAATTACACTGGCATAGAAGGGCCACTTTTTGTCAGTGGAATAAAAACTAGGAGGACTTTATTTCAAGATCTCTTCAGTGACCAGGAGGAAAAGTGAAAAATAGAATAATAACTTTTGAAACTATCTGTAGATTTTATATTCATTTTAGTCAAGAAATGTTTAAGGTTTTTTTTTTTTTTTTTTTTTTTGTATTTAATTTGGAACATAACAAATGACAGTCTGTTTTGAAAAAAGATCATTTTCACTTTGAAAATCCACACTGTTTTGACATGTGCATTTTTTACTGTGCTCACCCAAAATACCACTTAGTGTTTGGCCAACAAAAATCTGTCCAAAGTCATGCATTTTGTTTATTAAACAAAGTATACTGAATAACCTTAAGTGTATTTCTCCATTATAAATTTCAAAGGTGTGTGGACTTCATTATGTTTCATACATTTCAAATGTGGCCTTCACATATCCTTGTACTGAGAATCTGCCTTACACAAACAGATTTCTTTCTTGTTTATCAATCTGAAGCCAAATGTGGGGATAATGAGCATGGCTTCTGGACGTATAGCTGTCCCCAAGAACATGAGATACATAGTGCTCCAGACAAGTAATGCACAACCAAGTGGTAACAAAGGGTTGACAACTTTATCTTTCCTACATCACATTTCTGGTGTTTTCTTACAACTGTGAAGAGGATGGTACGTGATCCAAAGTCACAGTTAAAGCCTTACAAACAAAAATGGATCTACTCTGGACAAAGAAAGACATATTAATAATAAGACTAACATAGACAGTGGATTATGGAGTTGAGAACTAGAATTCAGATTTTAGTTCCCCTGATGTTAGAAATACATATGCCCAGAAAATTATCAATGTGAGGTATAATAGTGATCCCAAATGAAGGAACTCCTACTGTGATGGAAATTTCATAGTTAAGTGCTTTGTTCTTCATTACTATCCAGTACCCTAGTGATTATTACGCTGTACTTAAGTTTCCTGATTCCACAAATTGTCTTTGTTGTACATAACTAAGACGTATTCCACATGTAAATGTTTTGACACTTAGGAGATTTTTGAGATTTGCAGACAAGCGTTAGAAACTTGGATGAATGTTATCAACAACACGGAAGAAAAAGCAGGATATCTTAACATTGCACATGATATTGTCTTACACCTTTTATGCAAAAGACTATTTTGAATAATTTTTTTTGTGTGTGTGTGAATAAATGGATAAAAAACTTCAAACACAAAATACCAAGCATCAATCATGACAAGTATATGATCACGCTTTCCTGATCCCAAGCAGAAGACTACTATCATCATATGTATTTTACGTATGATCAGTTGACTTGACAGTTTTAATGAATATTTTTGACAGGAATATGTCCCTAAAGTTCTGTTTCCTTAAAACCAGAATTTCAACAAGAAAAGTAGAAGAGCAAATCACAACAAAAAGAATCCTGAATATCCAGAAAAAGCAGAGAAAGTAAGGTTGCATGTAATGCGCTATAAACTTGGTGACACCCTGCTGCTGCTGCCAGATGGAGGACCACAAAGATAATTGGAGGGCTGGAGCACATCTCCTGTGAAGAAAGGCTGAGGGAGTTGGGCTTCCTTAGCTTGGAGAAGAGAAGGCTCAGTGATACTTCACCGTGACCTTCCAGTACTTGAGGGGAACTTAAAAGCAGGAGGGGGATCAAATTCTTATATAGTCTGATTGTGACAGGACAAGGGGGGATGTCTTAAAACTAAAGGACGTGAAATTTAGGTTAAATGTTCAGAAAAAAATGTTTACTCAGAAGGTGGTGAGGTGCTGGCATAGCTGCCCAGAGAAGCTATTGATGACCCATCTTTGGAGGTGAAGGCCAGGTTGGACGGGGCCCTGGGCAGCCTGATGCAGTGGTCAGCAGCCCTGCCCATGGCAGGGAGGATGGAGCTTAATGATCTTTATTTAATGCTCCTTCCAACATAAGCCATTCTGTGATATATGATATTGATAGTGTTTAATAATTTCCAGTGTGACCTCAGTGTTTA